TAGTAGTATATATTTATAATAAGATAATTAGAAAAATTAGTATAAAAAGAAAAAAGACAACAAAAAGACAAAAAAATAAATGATTACATAGCTATAGAGGTGTCATTAGTATAAGATAGGGGTGCTATTAACCTTCCCCGATTTAATTTCATTAACGTGTCGTTGACATTTTTTATTTTTTATATGCAAATTAAACAAAAAAAAATGTGACGTCTTAGACATCAAAATAAATGTTTTAAAAATACGTTACCCAAACATTATTGATTGGATTAGAGATCAGTCGACTAGTACAGACACCGATTCATATTAGTGCCAATGTTCCTTTGTCAATTTTTGAATTTGACAAGTTTTAAGTATTGTATGGTAAATTAAGTCGTGGCTGACAACCTGAATAATAGCTGATAAATGAATCACATTTAACATAGTTGACAATCGTAAATTGACATGCTTAAAAAATTACTTATTTCAAACATTAGATATAATCAAAACAAACCATCAACATGTGTCATCATATTAAAATAAGTTGCAACGGAAATTATAAGTTTTTCTAACATCGTATTAAAATAAGTAGCAACGAAAACAATAACAAACCATTGCACATTTCGTTTACTTAGGTTTAATAGACTTCTTTGCATCCATATCATATTTGCAATATGAATTTCTCGCATCTCGTGGTACGACAATCGCATGTTAGCATGATTTAAGCTTGTTTCGCCATCTAACTCTTCCATAGGTATATGTATTCATGTTGTCGAAAACCATAATTGTGAATAGCTAATATCGCCAACTATAACATCTCTTTGTGCTGCTTTATTAAACCTTGTCATTTTGTTCAATATTTTTCATCTCTTTTCTTTAAGACTCCAAATGGTCGTTGAATACAACGCTGAAGAAACGGTGTACACGTTTGAAAGTCTCTTTAGCATTAGTTGGAAGAACATACTCAAATTGTGATTGGCGGACTCTAATACGAGGATAAAGTTCTTGATATCCTTGTCGGTCGGGATATCCTCTGTATGTTATATAATATTTCGTGGGAGAGAGAAAATAAATTCATTTTTAATAAGGTAGTTAGCACATAAATTATGATGGAATGTC